ATACCATAAAAAATTTAAACTTAAATTTGTTAACTTTAATGCGTCATTTGAATAAAATAATACTATTTCATTGCCAGTGAGTCAAATGAGGGTTTAAATGTTGATTTAGAGCGAAAATTGTGTTAATTTTATTTATTGTCAAATCAGAAGTAAAATTTAAATTAATATTTGTTTTTCATTAACCAGCCAAAAGGATATGAAAATTGAACTTTTATTTCGGTGCTTATTCATATAATTATAGAAATAGAATATATTATTTTGTAATTTGGTTTTCTATTTTAATATTGAAACAGAAATAAAAAAATTGAAAATTCAATTCTAATGTTTACAGAAGTACTAATTATTTACTAATAAACCCAAAATTAACAGCACTGAAAAATACGAGAAATACCTAACTTTTGCTATTTATAAAGTAAAACTTAAACTACTGTTTGGTATTTTTGTTTTAAAAGTAAAAGAAAAATTAACATGTGTGAAAATAGCCCGAGTGAGCAATAACTATAGTTTTTAGTCTGAACTGTAAAAAAGAAGCAGGCATCTTATTTTAAGATACTTTGGTAGTTACTTTAAAGTTGTTTCGAAAACGTTATCAAAAGCATCTTAAAATGCATTATGGTTTTTAAGATATAAGTTGAAAAAATAAGATATTTTATGCTTTAAAAGTGACTACAATGTATTTTAAGATGCTTCTTTTAGCATAGAGTGGAACTGACAAGGCTCATACTTAACTCTTTATAAATGTCAAAACGAATAAAAAATAAATAAAAAATTTTGTTTGACCTTTTACAATTTCACTTTGTTATAATAGCCTACATTGAGTAATATTTTCATTTTCATTTGCAAAATCTAATAGTGGTTTGAGTAAATAATTGTTTAACATTAAGGTAATGTTATTCAGTGTGACGTACTCACATATATAGTGAGTGATCACTTAATAATTTAACCTTCATAAAAGATTCAAAAAATTAAAAATCTTTTCAAAATTATTTATTTTTAATAAAAAAAGATTTATCTTTATAAATCTCTGTAAAAAGTTAATTTTTATAAATAAATAAGGGACATTTCATGTCAACTCGGACAGAGTCCAAACAAAAATTGCTTTAATGGATTTAAACGTTCTAGTGCTTAAAAGATTTTCTATATTCCTGTACTTTATAAGATGCCTATGGGTTTTTTTTTAAATTTCCATTTTCGATGCCACAAAAAATTTCAAAATACTTTTATGAATTAGAAGCTAAAAACGAGGTAAATTATTCTGTAACTCATTCTTTAACAGATTTTAGGGTCGCTGATTACGAATCTAATGTCACTTTTTAAAAATTCAAAATGGCGGATCCAATATGTCGGAAAAATTTTCAAATTGGATCCAATTCGTTTAATTTGAATTTTATCCGCCATATTGGATCCGCCATTTTGAATTTTTTAAAATGACTTCAAATTCGTAATCAGCGACCCTAAAAACTGTTAATGAATGAGTATTAAAACTTTTTTAAGGCTCTATCATTTTAAAGCTTAAGAAATTGTTTATTGAGAGGATTGATTATATTTGATATTTAGAATAATTTTATCGAGAGAAAAAAAAGTTTATTAAAAGAGTTGTATACGCGATAATCTTATGGTTTATAATGCAATGCCTCATACACATGTTATCTAATTGCGTTACGTTGTGGGAAAGTGTGCAAAACTTTGGTGTTCCTAATTACCTGTCACTCCCATTTAACCACTCTTCTCTTCTACCAGGATACTTTTTGAGTATGCAATCTTTAGTACCAACTGAGTCTATTGCTAATTTCCATCTAGGTAACAGTTATCTTTATTTTCCTAAGACGTGCAATATAAACTTTAGCCATTAAGTATACAAAATAGTGCATTATGTTTGATTGGTGCCGCCACGCCATGCCAGTGTTGGAAACAAAAGAAGCACAAGTGTTAGTTTCAGTAATTGAACTATATAACAATATGAAAATGCAGTAAAATCGCGATGTATTAACGCTTTTCTAGTTAAAGACAGTTAAAGAATAAAGAGTTATTTAAAGATTCTTTATTTTACGCAGAAATACAAGGAGAATTACAATGAGTATTACATAGTTGAGTAAAACGTTTCGTGGCTTTCTACTTGCTCTGTACACTGCGCGTTTGTGTAACGCATTAATTGAAGCTTGTAGGCTTTGAAAACCATTTGCAAGATGAATGTTTTAGTTACATTTATGTAGCAACGGCTTCCGATCGAGAGGAGATGACGAGAGCCTATGCTATAGAAAAACATCCTTTAAGGTTTTTCATTTCTCACTCCGTTGACTGATCTCCTTTTGCCTATAGCGTCGTATAATTTATAGCTCTATACTCTCAACAGTAGTTGGAAAACCAAAGCGTAGTTCTTTTGCTTGATTGCACTCCGGAGTGCTGGTCGGCGTGCGCGACCAGAGGCATATAATTTTCTCGGTGTTTTTGTTGCAGGGTAACTTGTCTTCAGGTGAGCCTTGGTCGAGGTGGAGGTGGCGTAGAGTACTACGCAGTAGCCAAGTATCCTTACTCTCTCTCTCCCCTTGCCCCCTTTCAACTACCCGTTAAAACCCCCTCTCCCCCTCCCTCCACCTCCACCCATCTTGTTCTATCCCGGTTACTCCTGCTTGTAACGTTCACTTTTTACTCGTGGTTTCTTTCTTGCCTCTTTATGCGCCGTCCGTACGTCCTTTCTCTCTTTTCTTGTTGGTCTTCTCTCTTTTTCTTCTCCTCAAGATACTTCACAGCTAGCGTCTCCTCTACATCTCTTCCATAACCTCTTCGACGTCCCTCGACACCCCGATCGTCCCTCTGATGCCCCAATCCTTCGAACGCAAGGATTTTGACCCTCGTTTCGTGTTGCTTGCATTTCAACGTAACTTTACTGACTTTGTTTTTCGCCTCAGGTCACAAGAAAAAAAGAGAACTGGATGCAAGGAGGGAAATTAATGCAGAGAAAGAAAGCACAGGAGAGATAAAGATAAGAAAAACATAATCCTTCTCGTATGATCGCGTCCCCTTTAAGGCAATCTTTTAGCTATGAAATTTTAACTGTTCAATTTTTTGACATCTCGAATTGTACATAATTATTTAATTATTATTTACATAATAATCATGTCAAGTATGACTTTCAGAAAATGTTTTTATCAAATAATCAGCTACGCCTGTTTAATTAATAATTAGAAAGCACATTTTGGACCGTTAAAAGCATCTTATTGTCCGAAAAAATCATTTTTGGTAATTCTTTTTTTTTATAAAACAATCCACAAGAAATACATTATTTTTTTCGGACGACTTTCCTTTTAGCTAGCCAATTTAAATATTTACAAAGATATATATGGGTGATTCTCCAAAAAACCTCATTTTGCATGTAATCAAGATTTTCTAAATAATTATAATCATTTGGGAAAATACCAAGTCATATTTCCCTATTTTATCACTTTTTCTAAATGTTCTGCAAGAAAAAGTTGTAAAATTTTATTGTTTAATACATTTTTAAAATATTTTACTACCTCAAAATCGATTTTCTAACCTGTCATCTAAGTGCTTTTCATTTTTTCAATAGGTAAAACAATTATTTAAAACATGAAAATTGGTACTTTATTAATTTTTTCTAAAAGTTATGATATTTAAGAATAATTTTAAAAAATATAAATAAAATATGTCGTGTAGTTTTTTTAAATATAGAAAATGAAATTTGTCATGTAGTACCGCGTCATTCCTCTCACTCGTTTAATATTATCCAATATTTTTGCTGTGGGTAGAGATATTGATTAATTATTGTGATCAATATTTAAATTAACATCTCTAATATTAATTTCTTAAGTTACTTTTTAAAAAATGTCATTATTTTGCGTTAAAAAAATTAAAATTGAGACATAAGCAGAGATTCACAACCTAAAGCGTCATTCCTCTCACCCCTAATAAAAACAATATTAATATATATAAATTGATCGCAAATTTTTTTCACATAAAGTTATCCTTTATAAACATGATAGGGCATTCTAAGCTGGAGGAAAATTATTTGTCAATTAAATAAAATAAAAAAATGTTGAAATCGTCATTCCTCTCACCCGTCATTCCTCTCACTTTTTTGAATAAAAATTAAAAATTGATATGATTGTCGGTTGTTTACAAACTGCCAGTGAAAAGTGAACCTAAAATGTATGAAAAATAATTTTTGACAATTGTTTAAAAAGATTTTTGATAACTGTAAGTATTTCAAAATCTATAAAATTTATAGATAATATTAATAAATTATAATTTTTAAATAATTTTTTGTAAATAGAAAAATATATATAATAAAAAACGCCGGCGCCAAATTTTAACCTCTTAATTTTTTTGAAAATTTTAATTTAAAATATATAGTTTAAAAGCTAAAAGTTAGCATGATCATGCTATAGAGGTGGTAGATTTTTGAAAGCTCAATATAATTGACTGCATTAATCCATAAATAATAATTTTTTTTCTTTTCTGTTTGTAACTCACAAAAAGGAGTATTTCGGGAGAATCACCCATATATTTAACACAAATTAACATTTTATAGAATTTTTCAATGTTAGTTAATTCGTATTAAATTCTTCGACATTAAAATCCTATGAAGAGAAATCATTTGAGTATCATTAAAATTTTTCTTTAAATGCATTTTTGAAAAGTATTCTTTTCAAAAATAGCATTTAAAGAAAAATCCTTTCTTGTTGTAAATTACATATTTTAAAACAAATAATAATTTGCCATAAACGTTTACAATCAGAATGAAAAATTTATACTTTATTATTATGTATATGAATTACTAATAATAAATTAAAATAATCATAACACAAACTTATCATTTCGTTAATCCTTTAATGCCCGACTTGTTTAAAATAATGTAAATAGTATCGTGCATTCTATTTAAGGATCATCGAGGTCACTAATTACGAATCTGAGGTCAGTTTTTTAAAACACAAAATGGCGGATCTAATATGGCGTACTTTCAATAACATTGCGACTTGAATATTTAATAACAACTGTAATTGGAAATTCAATAAAATGGAAATGAAAATTCAATAACATTATATGAAAATTAAGTAACGTAGAATTGAAAATGCAATAGCATTATATTGGATGTTCAATAACATAGAGTTGAAAATTGAATAACCCAGATTTTAAAATTCATTAAAATTTAACTGAAAAAATAATTAACCCTTTGCAGCATAGTGCCACTCCTGAGTGTCACCTTTTTTTCTTCTCTTTTATGCATACTATATGTATCAGGGGACATTCCTTACTATAAGAAAGAAAAAAGAAAATATGTTTTGTTGATAAAATAATTGTTATAAATAAATAAACTTAAAAAAGCAGCTTTTTTTACAATAAATGTAATTGTGTCTAACCAACAAAATGAAATATACTTTGAGGGTCATGTCTAGATAGTTTTTGGGGTCGCTGATTACGAGTATGGGGTCAGTTTTTCAAAATTCAAAATGTCGGATCCAATATGGCGGACGTATTTTTTAAAATTGCTCAAATTCACTTGAAACTTGTTACTCGGGGGTTTTTGGGGGCGTTCATTGCGAATATAATGTCAGATTTTCAAAATTCAAAATGGCGGATCCAATATGGCGGATTAATTTTTTTAAATTGACCAAATTCACTTGGAACTTATTTCTTGGGGGTTTATTGAATCCGCTATTTTGAATTTCGAAAATCTGACTACATATTTGTAATCAGCGACCCCAAAAACCGTTGTTTTAATCAAATTTTGATTTTCGATGTATACGTAACATTGACTTCTTTCATCATATAAATTTGCGCCTTTTACAATTAAAGTTGGTGTTGGTCCTATTTTACTTTTCATTACGGCATCCTCTTCTGAAACCTTAACAAAAAAAGAAACATTTAAGTCAGTTTTTAAAAACAAATGCCTAATTCAATTTTGAATTTTTTAAATCTGACTTCAGATTACAGAAACCTGCGAGTAGTCATCTTTTACGAGCTTAGCTCAATGTAATTTAATAGTTCTTAATTTTTTTTTTTACAAATTTTGATATAAAAATTTTTTGTTTATGTTGTTATGCTATGAGATTTTTTTTATTTTTTATTTGTAAGATTTTTTAAAAAATGTTTAGTGAATTTTTGGAGGGTGACCATCTTGAGGACACTTTTTCAGAAATAAAAACTACCACTTTTTTCAAAACATCTTAAATTTTTTTAATTGTAATATCAAAAATAATTTATGATGCAAAGTTTGCTTATAAGATAATAAGGTTTCAGGGGATGTATCAATGACCTCGATATATAGTACCGTTTGAATCCTACAGTTGTTTAAAAAAAAGTGACCACCTTAAGGCCCTCACCCATAAATTAATTACAATTTTATGTAAAAGACTTGTTGAAGGTGGAAAAGCATCACATTATAAAATCAAATAATATAATAATGAGAATACCAATTATAAACTAGTGCTTCAGAAGAATAACTCAATTAATTCTCTTTAAATACATAAACTGCTTGTAATATTGCCTTGATATCATTGAAATGTTTTTAACGTTTTAAATTTCTTTCAAGAATATTTTTTTCTTAATAATTGAAGAAAAATTTTCTAAAAACTGTGTTGGTTTTTTTTTACTTTCTTAGGGCATTGAATTAATATATTATAATACCTAATATAGTATTTAATCTTAAACAGCCAGACAAGCCTAAGTAGATATTATTTTTTAAATTGGAAATTTTGAAGAAAGATATTTATATTCTGCGGTTTTTTGGTATTAAAATAAAAATTTGATTTTTGGTGTGTTGCATTCACTGTATGGGCGCTTCAAAAACATTTATTACCTATTTTTAAACTTTATGCGACCTAAAATAAAGAAGTTAACGGCAAACGGGACACATATACGTTCCAAATACTTAAGAAGGTCATAACTTTCTTAAGGGGTTAAACTACTGTGAACCTTTATAAAAATCGAAAACTTTTTTCTTGTTAAAAAAATACTCTAGTGTTTTAAAAATAAGAAATAATAATCATACAGGTAAAAAGTAAAATATTTTTGAAGGCTTAATTATAATCCGAATGGTGAGCCAGAAACATCTATATTTTTTAAATAACGTCTATTTATTGTTTTCAAAAGTACATGATGCTTTTAAAACTTCTAATTACTTTTTTTTTAATTTTGTAAATGTTTAAAAAAAATTTAATACTCAATGTAATTTTGTACGATGAGCTGATGACTTTTTACTTTTATAATGTAGAAATGAGAAAAATTCTACTTTTAATGTTGAGTTTTTAAGAATTTTCTGTGATTTTAATCACTTACATCTTTTCAGGTGGAAAAATCCAATTTTAGTCTCAATATTAAAGTTAGACCTTCCATTACATAGTAAAAAAAAAAAAAGATAAGGAGATAAGGAGCTACTTTTTACTTTTATTCATGTTTACAAAATCTGCTTTAAAAAATTTGTTGGTAAAAATATTAGTAATTTTATAACACTGAAGTTGACTGTTTTAATAGTCTTGCATAAAACTACTTGCATTTTTAACCCTTAGATTCGTTTTTGGAAGTAAATTTTTTAAACTTTAACGTTCTGAATTCTTTTAGAGTTTTTCCTAACATAGTCTTAAAGTTACAACTATATGAAAATATTTAACTGGTGAAAAAAATTATTTAGTGTAAAAAATAATTACTATGAGTTTTTTTGTGATCGCGGTCGCGTTGATCCGTGCGACGCATCTTATTGTTGTGGTGCTCCATAAGTTCGTTGCACGCTCATACCATGAATACCGCGTAATCTTAAAAACTGGAATACAGAATAAGTATTCAAAATTAAAGATTATTTGTAGAATTATTTTACAACATTATTGTTTATTATATTAAGAAGAAAGCTATCAATAAAAAAAATAATAATTATTATTATTATTATTATAATAATTATTGTTTATTATTAGTGACAATAATGAAATTTTACCAGTTTCTATAAAATTCCATATAACAAAATTGCAAATCTGGAGAAATTTGTTTATACACATTATTATGCTTTTTACATTTAACACCAACATTTCTTTATTTACATACAAATTCCAAACATTATCTTTTTATTTTCCTTAAAAATTTTTTTTTCTGCAATAATTAAAATAAATAAACTTGAAGAAAATTAGTTTCAATGAAAATTGTCTAAATACCAATCAATTTTTAATACTATAAAGGCACTAAGAACCTGTCGAAGACGGGTATCGCAGCTGGTATACACATACTATAATTTTGTTCATAGAACGCAAAATAATTAAAGTTCCAATCACGATAAACAGGTAAATAATGCGTTGCAGACATTATTCGCCATGTTAATACTGCATTAAGACCAGAGATTTCGTAAAAGTTGAAAGACCTGCGATATAAACATTGATTTTAGAAAAATTTATCCACGTACTTTGTGAGGACTTTTAAACATTTTTTTCAATGAATTAAGTAATTTATTACTTTCTGATTACGTGCTCTTTAGTTTTACTTAAGAATATCAATATTATAGATGATGCCAGCCAATATATAATCCGCAATTTTGAAGTTTCTAAATCTGACATAAAATCTGTTTTATCAACTTCAGAATTATTCTAGTGACAACAAGTTTTAAGCGGATCAAACCGACTATGAATTATATTATTCGAACTTTCTGCAGCAAATAATTATGACTAAGCGATCTAGTTATTTTATATATATTTAAGTACATCATTCAATTTTTAAAACTTATTTTTTCATTTTAGAAACATTATAATATGACTCCATATGTTGAATGTTGTCAAATATGTTGAATCAAATAAATAGTGATTTTTAAATATAAATAAAACGGTGGGTACTCTATAATACTCAAAAAATTATAAAATAAATAAATAAACTTGTTTTTCTGTTTTCAAAAATTATCATATTGAGGTTACTCAATTTGAGGTCAGATTTACAAAATTCAAAATGGCGGATTCAACATGGCGGATGAATTATTTATAAATTTATTAAATTGACTTGAAACTGGTTATTTTAATACGCTGTAAAAACAAATATTTCTCTGATCTAATTATCACTTCACCCCTACAAATTCTATGATCATATATGGTTTCCAAAAAGTGCAATAAAAAATCGGTTTTTTGAAACATCAAAATGGGAACGTCCCTTAAATTGACCACCTTAAATTTCGGAAACGTAATATAAATTTGTTTTTAAAACTTTTAGAATTAATAAAGTTTAAAAAAGTCATAAAATATTACAATCTCGTGAAATGCATGTATCAGGTTTACAAAAAATTAATTATATTTCTTTATGAAAGATTCTGCGTATATACTAAAAGAAAAGAAAAATTAAAAATCTAAAATACAACTTCGATTTAAAACGTACGTATATACATTGATAAAAAAGAGATAAATTTTATGCTTCTGGTATTGAATAAACTTTCTTTTTCTTCGTTGGTATATATAAAAAAAGGTGGAAGAGAAAAAAAGTAAAGGTGCAATGAAGATGAGGCCACTGGCCCGAAGGCCTACGGTACATTCGATTCTGTCGTTATTGTCTAAGTTTACCGCAATAAGTTTCCTGGATAATCTGCGTGGAGGAGCTAGAAGAGTGTTTCCGAGAGCAGATAATGACAGGCCCCGACTCGTTAGCCACTCAAGACTAAAAGCAAAATGACTCCAGCAACGAATGAACGGACAAACGAACAAACTTATACGAACCTTAGTGTGCACCTGTGTATCTAGTTTACTGCTCCAATGATATAAAACTTTACATAAAATGAAAGACTTGAGACTATTACTCGAAAAATCTCTAACCATGAAAAGTTTCTTTATGATTATTGACAGTTCATGACACTTGTAATGAATGAGTGTCGCATAAAAAGGTTTCATTTTCTTTATCATAGAAAAAAAACACGTTTTTCTTACTAAAACTTGTTTAATTTATTGTTATCTTGAGGCAAAAAATAAATACATTCGTTTGGTCGTGAAAATAATTTTTCATCAGTTATTTTATTATAATGTTTTCAGCAAGATAAATCAGTACATTTTTATCGTATATGTAATACAATAATGCAATATTAGAGTTCAACCCCTTTGCAGTCTAGTTAGAAAATCGCTTGTGGGCTTAAAACAAATTAAAAAAGTTTTCAAAATATATTATTTCATCATAGGTTTATGGGTCAGATTTTCAAAATCCAAAATGGCGAATTCCATAAAAATTACATAAAAAAAAATTGAATTAAACTTTTTAAAAAAAATTAATTTCAAAATTCAATTATCTCTGAAATTTCACACTATAAGTTGCTTTTAATATTCAATTATCTAAAATTTTAATTGAAATTCATTTTTAAATCAATTTTTATTAGAAAATTCTACCAGAATTCAATTATTTTAATACAAAACAATTATTTTATTGAATAATTGATTGTTTCTTCGAATTGAATTCTCATAAAGAATTTCATCAACAATCTTTTAAATAATTGAATTCTTTCGACGAATTTTGATAAAATTTTTAAGAATAATTACATTCTTCGAGAAATTTGATTAAAATTGTATTAAAAATATTTAATAAAACAACCGAGTGATTAAATCATGTAATATATGTATTAAAAATAATTGACATTCTTCTGAGTTTTATTATTTGTAAAAATAATTGAGTTATTGCGAAGAATTTTATAAAAAAAAGTTGCAAACAATTGACTTTTTTCGGAAAACTTTATGCAAATTCAATTTTTAATAATTGAATTTCTTCTGTGAAATTTTCATTATTTTAGAAAATAATTGAATATTCGTGTAGAATTTTGGCAAAATTGTTTTTAAATAATTGAATTATTTTCGAAAATTTTATAATAATAATAGATATACAAATTATTAAATTAAGAACAATTTTTAAAAATAATTAAATTTTATTACTTTTGAAAATGATTGAATTCTTGTGATGAATATTCTTATTTATAAAAATAATTGACTTCCTCCGAATGATTTTATTGTTTATGAAAATAATTAAGTCCCTGAAAGGAATTTTAAAATTTATAAAAATAATTGATATTACTGCTAAGAATTTAATGTCAAATTTTAAAACATTTGAAATTTTCGAAATAATTTAAGCAAATTCAATTTTAAATAAAAATTCATGTGAAATTTTTATTTTTTTTTGGAAAATAATTGAATTTTTGTGAAGAATTTTATCAAAATCTTTGTACAATAATTGAATTATTTTGGAAAATTTATTAAAATAGTAGAATATTAAAAATCATTGAATTAAGAAAAATTTTTGAAAATAATTTCAATTTTGACATGAATTTTATTTAAATTTTTGAAAATAATTGAATTTTGCAAAGAATTTTACTAAAATTCCTAAGAATAATTGAATTTTGGTGAAGAATTTTGCCATTCATTTATAAATATTGAAATGTTGAAGAATTATTTTTTTATTTTTTGAAAATATTTGAATTTCTGCCAAGAATTTTATTAATTTTGAAAATAATTTAAATTCTTGTGATGTATATTATGTTATTTATGAACATAATTGAATTTTGCATAGAATTTTATTAAAATTCTTCAAAATAATTGAATTTTGTCCAAGAATTTCGCTATGTTGACGAGAATTTTTTTCAAATTTTTGAAAATAATTGAATTTTCGGAAAGAATTCTAATATTTATTAAGATATAATTGAATTTGTTCAAAGAATTGCGTTAAAATTATAAAAATTGAAACTATTTTCAACAGAATTGAAATGCATTATTTTTAATAATTTTTGAAAAAGTTCTTTGACAATTTTCAAATTCATTTGTTTAGAATTTGAGAAATTTAATTAAAATTCCATTAAAAATATTTGAATTTCTGCAATGAGTTTTATTATTTATGAAAATATTTGAATTCCTAAAAAGAATTTTATTATTCTGATATTATTAATGTGGAATACGTATTTTTAATAAAGTAAGATTTTAGGCCATTTTTTTTTTTTTTTTTTTTTTTTTTTTAACGTTTCGGTAGCTGCCGCTACCCTTATCAAGTTTATAAATACACTGCAAATAATAATTTTAAAATTAATTATAAATATAAAAAATAACATTCGTTTTGCTTAACATTAAAACCTGGAAAAAGTCGTACTTACGTTATAAAAAGAAACTTTATTATTTTTATTTTATAAATTTAAACTTGGTATAAACTTTAAAAGGTTAATTTTCACCATCTTTTTTTTAAAATTAAAAAAAAAAATGGCCTAAAATCTTACTTTATTAATTTTATTATTTACGAAAATAATGGAATCTCTATAAAAATTTTATTATTTATGAAAATAATTGAATGATTGCGAATAAATTTATAAAAAATTTGTAAATAATTGAATTCCTGTGAAATTTTAATATTTTTATGAAAATAATTAAAGGTTTGCGTAGAATTTTATTAAATTTATTTTAAAGTAATTGAATTTATTTGGAAAATTTTATTAAAATAGTAGATATATTAAAAATCATTGAATTGAGGAATCTTTTTGAAAATTATGAAATATCGACAAGAATTTTTTTTTAAATTTTTGAAAATAATTGAATTTCGGAGAAGAATTTTATTATTTATATCTATTACTGAGTAGATATTGACATTTAAATAATTAAACATTTTTAAGTACCTGTTTTTCACCTTCGACCTTTTTAGGAAGTATTGTTTTTATAATACAGAAATATTACGTTCTCGATTGGATAAAATTATCGCTTTAATGTTTAATAAGAATGACACATTTTGAATAGCATGTAAAATTTTCTTTAAAATGAACTCAAGAACAGTAAATTGTGTATTTTATTTTACAAATAAAGTTAATTCGAAGAGAACAATACTAAAAGAGTATAAGAACAAATATACTTAAGAATGATAAAGCTATAATATGAAAAATTAACAGATATTATCTACACGCAAGGATTATATTGTCCTGCTATTATAACCAGTTTCTGGTTATAGAATAGTTTTGTATTTAAGAACAAAAAAGATTAGTTGGTATCTTTCAATAAAAAGTGTACTTCCACCTACACAGCATGGAAAGTTGCCTTAAAATTGAAATTCACTTGACTGCAACCTCTGGAATCTTTGTAGTCACTAAGCTAATGAAAATTAAAGTTATTCTTTAAATGTCCACTGTTTTTCAATGTTTGACGCGAAAGTTGACTGAACATTGCATAAAAGTTTGAAATTTCTTAACACCTTAAAAGTCCACGGTACATATACGGCTCATAAAAAGTCGTGCAAACCTTTGTTTCATGCATATATACGTGCTATTAACGAAAAAATACTTAACCTACTTTGATTTTATCATT